TTAAGATGCTATCTTAAATCAATAAAAGATTGAGCCGTATTAGCATCTTAAGACATTACTTGAAATAGTTTTGAAATAAGAATCGATTATATGAATATATCGGCCACAAATTTGAAATTTTTGAATAGTTCTTGTACGAATCATAATGATTCAAATTCGAATCGAATTGAATGTTAATTCGATTCAATCCAATTCGTATTTGAATAGTTCGCACATCTTTACCATGTTGTAAAAAAGACGAATAAATTAATTTGTTAATTCTTGACAGAAGGTTACACATATAATATAAAATAATACCTTATCTTGCTATTTTAAATATCAAGCTACAATTTCCAATATTAACTTGCATGCAAATTAGTATAAGATGAGAAGTACCTATATGACATAAAATATTTTGGTATAATTTTGTCAATTTTCATCAATATGTCGAAACAACTTTTAAATCGAACTTGTTTAGATATTTTAAAATAACTAATTTTTTTGAACTCATATCACAACAGACTTTCAATTCACGTACGTGGGTTACAATTATTATACTGATAGCGACCGTGCCACTACTATTATTCTTTACGAAATCATACCGTGATCAATCACGGAGCGCCATGGATCTGATCTCTGAGAATTTCATCTGCATTTGGGGTATCTTTTGCCAGCAGGCGCTTATAGGTAATAATATAAAATTTACAACAACCAAAGTAATTAAATTAAATATTTGATTATATAAAATACTCATAAAATATGATTTCGTTTTCCTGAAAGAGGAATAAATAATAAGATAAATTAAATTTTAATTAAGTTAAAAGTTAAATTTGATGTTGGACTCTATTTCTTCCTTTTTTTGAAAGTTGATTAGAATTTTAATTAAATTTTTTCCTCTAGAGTTTCCGAAAAATTTATCGCTGCGCGTCGCGTATATTACGATATTTTTGACGGCGATGCTGATAATGGCTCACTATTCAGCGGCGTTAATTTGCTTCCTGACAGTGTGTATTCGCGTTCTGCCTTTTCAAACGCTAGAAGAATTTATCGACGATGGTACCTATAAATTAATCATGCTACGTGGTACTGCTGACTACGAAGTAGTTACCGTAAGTTCACTCAGTGATCAAAGAATTGCAATCCGATTCACTTTTAAGTAGCTCAGTTCACATTTTGAGCGATTGAAATTATGTCAGACTATTGCATTCGGATAATATGAAATTATCCAGCTACCAAAATATTAGCAAAATGTGATAGACTGATAACAGATTTGATCAGAAGATGTTAGCAGATTGACCTTAATTGATGTCGCATTCTGTTCTTATATCAATAGTATCTATTAAACATTCAACAGATTGGCAGAAATCAAACAGAATGCTTGTAGATATTCTATGTCAGCAGAAACTAAGCAGAATCTCAGATTCTGATGAGAAATTTTAAAACAAATTAGTAGTTGAAATCGAGCAGATTCTGTTCTATTAATAGCATAATATGTAATAAAATGTTATATATGTATTTATTTGTATATTTAAGCTTTAATAATATGTAAAATATATTTATCAATAAAATTATTTAAAATTATTTCTTCAAAATAGAAAAAAATGTAATAAAAATGTTATTTTAAGAAATTTTTCAAAGTAATAATAACGTTACAATTTTAATACCTACAAAAACAGTAAGATCTGCCTGATTTCTACCGTCAATTTACTGTTCGATTAAATCAGATTATGTTGCACAGTTCCTGCTTGGTTGCTGCCATTAGTCTGCCATCAGAGTCAACAGGTCTTGCTTGATTTCTACTGTAAATCTGTTGATATAAAATGTTATCTCATGTGCTATCGTCAGAACAGAATCAGAATGCGACATCAATTGAAGTCAGTCTGCTAACATTTTTTTATTAAATCTGTTGTGCCGATCTGCCGACATTTTGCTAATATTTTGCATTTTGTTTACGGAGCAGTTTCTGTTTGAAATTTGTTCTAATGCTTTCTAGCATTAGAAATCATGTAGCAGACTACTCAAATTTTGCGGGCTTGGATAAACGATCACATAATATCTATCGTGGTTTCATTACGTTGATATGAAGCAATAAATGATTAATGCGTTACAAGAAGTTTTCGTCACAGTTTCAGGCGCAGCACGAGGCGAAGCTTTTCTATGTAAAGCTGATGAAATTAATGAAAGACGAATCGGAATTGCCGAGAAATCTAGAGGAAGGCTTCATGCAAGTACGAACAATAATCCATTTTTTCGTAAGATATCAAGACGAATGTAATACGAATCAATTTTAATATATTTTAATATATTTTTATATGTTTATTATATCTTTTATTTCTATAAAATTACTTTCTTCTTCTGGATTATATAATTATTTAAGCGTATTCGTGCTTGAAAAGCACGTTTTTATTGAATCAATTATCTGCTGCTTGTTCAGGTATGCAATGAAAAAAATGTTGCCTTTATGGTGCTGAGTGTTCGAAAGAAAAGCGTAGAAAAGGAGATACCCTGTCGAGTATTACTACCGAGAGGATAGACAATTTAGCAATGATCCTTTCCAAGAATATTCCGTATACAGGCGTGATAAATTATCAGTGGGTATATATATATATATATATATATCGCGAAAAATTTTCTTTTTATATTTATAATCTTTCCTTTAAGTTATAAAAATATTGCGTATACTAGTTTGCAGAAATTTTTGGACAATGGTATTATAATACGTATGAGGGAAACATATTCGCCACAGTTGGCTGACAATAAGATTTACAAGCCAGTTTATTTGTTTAACATCGTCCCAATTTTGGCAGTTCTTTGCGGAGGTTTTATTACAAGCATCATGATAATGATTATAGAGAAAATTCATTATCGATCGAGAAAGAAATTTCAATCAAGAGTATTTTCTTCTAGAAAGCTACTTATCAAAAAATATAATAATTGAGATAAAACTTAATCACAATTTAATTCATTAAATATCAAGAGACATCTTTTTAGCGAGAGAATTTCTTCATCATCTTTCTTTCTGTATGAATAAAAATTTCTTTTTATATATGTATGTATATATGCGTGTTTGTGTGTGCTTGTAAATTTGTTAATTATTATTTAAAGTTTTTCCGGTAAAAGTTTAGATTAGGGAGATATTTCGCTCCGATAATTTTGATCTTGATGATTTTGATCTTGCGTCTTTTTACTCGTAATATATTTAAATAGATATTAATATTATTAATAATTTTGTATTATTTAGGTTCGATAATATGATTATAAGTAAATGGCGTATACAATTATATCACTGCGCTTGGTTTAGCGCCGAAACACACTACGTGTCTCCAAAATTATTATATTATGAGTTAAATTTATGATGTGCTAACACTGAAATAAAATAAAAATCTAAGACATCTTTCTCACGAAAGAAGATAATAGAACTTTCTAAAGCTATATTTTACTTTAAGCATTCCTTTACATGCTTATTAAATATTATTTTTGTTATTAAAATTGTTTAAAATATTCGCTTTACATATAAATTAAATAATAATCAAATTTTCGAGATTTATCAAGATGATATTTTTTTCTGCTCAGTGTCACATTCTTTTTGCGGGATGTGCACATTTGCATTGATCCTTACATGCATATCTCCGAATTGAAAATTAATTTCAGATAACAAAAAATCCGAAATCAAGACATAATTTAAAAACATTTTTTTAAAAAGTGTCTTTAAGACGATTATTGAAAAGCATACAGCACAGACGATTTACGTATCATTGACACATCATTGACAACTACATTAATATTTCACTCATGCACACACGCCACATGTACACATAAATTATGTTTTAATTAGAAGTCTAATACCCATTTCCATCAATGTATTGATTAATTTTAATCTCGGTTCAACTTACTCTTTGTCTTTTTCTAATCGTTAGAATTAGAAAAGACGAAGAGTAAGTTGAACCGAGCTTAAAGTTCTATCTACATTGGTGGAAACAAGCATAAGTCCAATTTTAAAAACTGTACGTTATTTCTTCATGCAAATTACTAATCTGTGGATTACTATTTCGTAAATACATTGTACAGCTTTTATATGAAGCAAATATTCATATAACATATTCGTATAACATGGAGTCTACAATAGAAATCGTATCGATCATAGGGTTTTAAGTCGTAGGAAATTGACCAATCATGCATAATCGATTATTCTTCTCACATTCGACTGTGATTAGTTAATTTTCTACGACTTAAGAACCTATGACCGTTATGACTTCTATTGTAGACTCTAAATAAAGTGTTTTATGCGGATATTGACAAAACGGAACGATTTCGAAGCGCTGCGCAACAGTAATGCAATCTATGCATTTCATGCGCAACTCGAAACGCATCCCTTGTCTACTTTTATGCATCATGGAAGGAGTTTAACGATGATGAATAATTTATCAATCTGATCGATGATTTTTACCGATAAAAAAAGTCATATCGTCACATATATCTCTATATAATTTGTAATAATGCTGCCACACATCATCCAGCAGTGACACTCTTTGCGCCCATTCCTACATTCTCGGGGTCGATAATCTCCGATAATTTATAATGACCGCTCTTCAGTCACATGGTCGCACCCTTGAGAAAGTCGCGGAGTATCCTCTTTTCTTTCTTTAATCCTTAAGCAGCAATAGTCATGCTTTTTAATAAAAAATTCCGCAATTCGTTATGTTATTTTTAATAAGATTTTAGAATTAAAATATCGACAATTTCGTTATGCTTCTCTCCAGTCTCATATTTGTTTTAACTTATATAATAAATAATTTCTCACTTTAAATTCGTCGTTAATTATTTATCGTACAATTGTACGAAATAGATTTTATTTTTTTTACACAGTACTCATTTATTCAAGATTTTAATTTAAACTTGTACATTGCGAAATGAAATATATGATAGTGAGATTGATCGCGATATTTTCCTTCGTGTTGAGCATCAAATCGTTAACAAAAGAAACAGGTATTAACAATGATTTCTGACTAATCAACGATCATATATCCACAGATATTATCGCACATTATGTGTTGTTTTCGTGCGATTTGAAAATTACGGTAAGTACCGGGAACAATTTCCAACTATCATTTCTCATATTGCACATCAATCAGCTAGTGAAAAAAAAGTTTTCGCTAACTTTCAAACAAATATTGAATCATAATTTCACTTGTAAATTGTTTTAGTTTTACCGACCGTTAAGTTGTAATTATGTAAAAAATAAACCATTTTTAGATCTTCTTTTAATGTTAAAATATATACAACAAAATTCTACACTAATGCCCGTCTATCAATGTAATTTAATTTTAGTTTCAATCGATTCTTTATCTTTTTCTAGTTTTGAAAATTAAAAAAAGGTGAAAAGTATAGATAAACTGAGATTAACCTTAATCTATATTGGTAGAAACGGGCGAATATTTTTCTTCTCAAATGCTTTGAGCAATGTAAACGTGCAATCGCAACAGCCTTGATCGCAACTATAAAAATGAACCGGCATATATATATATATATATATAGTTACAGAACGTGATAAAGAAAAGTTATATAACATTCTGGAATTTATAATTTCAATAATTTTTTGACATCTTTTTACTAATATTTTCTAATTATTCATAAACTCGTTAATTTGTTTTTTGCTTGATCCAAATATTAGTTTAAATGAACATGACATTAAATGAATTCTAATGATTGATTGACTTTTAATAATCATTTGGAGTCATTTTGATTTGTTATGATGATTTGTGTTCTGCTTGATATCTATTGTTAAATTTAAATGCTAATAATTATAATGCCTGCAATATTCACGAAATGTTGGTATTTAACGATATGTCAATAAGACACAGAAATAACCAAATCTCTCTCTCTCTCTCTCTCTCTCTCTCTCTCTCTCTCTCTCTCTCGCGCGCCTATTTTTGCGCCAAATGAAAATATTCGTGCAACTTTTTAAAAAGAATTATATTATATGTTAACGTTTTATAAATATTGTATGTTCAATTAATTATCTGCATGTAATTTGCAACAACTGTAACAAAGTATAAGCTAGATCTTTCCACGAAACTTTTTTAATTATCGTCTTCAGATATTGATATGTGATATCGCGTGATTTAACTTACGACACAAATATTTACGTAAGATGATAAGAGGCAAGCGATTATGTTTAGGACGTAACACTTTGAATATTGTTCAGTCAGTTTTATGTTGTCATACTATCATTTTAAAAGTTACATTTAGGAAAATGATAAATTCCAAAATCATCGCTGTCGATGTACAGGATATAAGATTTCCGACATCGTTAAATCAAGATGGAAGTGACGCAATGGTACTCATTATTAAAAAATTTGATATGTTCGCTGTTAGTTCATTATTCTGATAAATCAGCAAGAGAATATTTTCGTAAATATATCCATATTAATACGCTAAGCATTACTCATATATATTAATTTATGCTAATAGTAAATAATCGTTGTTACATAAATTAATAAAATAAATATTAATTTTCATTAATAGTAAATAATAAAATTAATAGCTTACTAAGCAATATTAATAATCATTTATTTAAAATGATGCTTTAGATTGCTCGTTAAATTAATTAATAATTTTCGCTCTTTATTTATTGTCAAATTATATTTAATTTCAATTATATTATATTCAATACTTATTAGTCTTTATTTATAACAACAGCATACCGATCCTGATTATTCTTGCGTATATGTAACAATTAAAACAAGTACCGGGCACGAAGGATATGGTCTTACGTTCACCTTGGGAAGAGGAACTGAAATCGGTAT